CACTCAACCAACTGAGCCACACTGGCCAGGCCTAGAACTACTATAGAAATTTTGAAGGCACTTTTTTAAAAGTACATCTCAGCATTGCAAAATGACACCTTGAAGCAGACTTTCTTGCTTAAGATGCATTTGAAGGTTCACGAATATAAATGGCAGTAAGAGAAAATGCACTATTTGCCAGCCGGCATGGCTCAGTGGTTGAGCATAGACCTATGAACCAGGAGGTTATAGTTCAGTTCCCAGTCAGGGTATATGCCGAGTTAGGAGCTTGATCCCCAGTGTGGGATGTGCAAGAGGCAGCCTGTCAATGATTCTCTCATCATTGATGTTTCTCTCTCCCTCTGCCTCTCCCTTACTCTCTGAAATATATATATATATATATATATATCTCAATGCACGAAATTAGAGCACGGGTGGGGGGGGTGGAGGATGATGTTCCTCAGCCCAGCCTGCACCCTCTCCAGTCTGGGACCCTTGAGGGATGTCTGGGATCGGGCCTAAACAGGCAGTCGGACATCCCTCTCACAATCCAGGACTGCTGGCTCCTAACTGCTCGCCTGCCTGCCTTCCTGATTGCTCCTAACCACTTCTGCCTGCCAGCCTGATCACCCCCTAACCACTCCCATGCCAGCCTGATTGATGTCCAACTGCTCCCCTGCCAGCCTGTTTGCCCCAACTTCCCTCCTCTTCTGGCCTGGCCACCCCTAACTGCCCTCCCCTGCAGGGTTGATCGCCTCCAACTGCCCTCCCTTGCAGGCTGGTTTGGATCTTTGACCACATGGGGGCAGCCATATTGTGTATTGGAGTGATGGTCAATCTGCATATTACTCTTTTATTAGATAGGATAGAGGCCTGGTGCATGGGTGGGGGCCAGCTCGTTTGCCCTGAAGGGTGTCCCATATCAAGGTTAGGGTTCCCTTGGGGCGTGGGGCAGCTCATTTGCCCTGAAGGGTGTCCTATATCAAGGTTAGGGTTCCCTTGGGGCGTGGGGCAGCCTGAGCAAGGGGCCTATGTTGGTTTGCAGGCTAGCCATGCCCCCGGTGACCCAAGCGGAGGTTTGGTATTGGGATTTATTTACCTTTTATATTATAATTGAAACTTTGTAGCCTGGAACAGAGCCAAGCCTTCTGCTAGCTTTGTGGCCAGCAGCCATTTCTTTTGGGGTTTATGTATCTTCTATAATTGAAACTTTGTAGCCTTGAGTGGAGGCCTGGACGGGCCAGGACAGGCAGAAGCTTGGCTTCTTCCATTGCCTGGGAAACCCAAGCTTCCCTCCTCTCTGTGGCTGTAGCCATCTTGGTTGAGTTTATTTGCATACTTACTCTGAGTGGCTGGTGAGTGTAGCTGAGTGATGGTTAATTTGTATATTATTCTTTTATTAGGTAGGATTTTAAATGTACTACTGGGCCAGGTATTTGAAAGAAATCTCCTACTAGAAAGCTGTTCAATCTCTGTGAAAATCTAATGAACTCTTGGTAAAGGTCCTCTCCCTTGTCCCGTGGAGCAGTGTTGCCTCAGTTGCTGCCACATTTGCAGAGGTGAAAACCAAAAGAGAAATGGAAAAGGAGAGACTGTTCACTTATGATCTGCTGACAGTGCTAGGTTCAGGAGTCCTCCAGACACACCTGAAGTGGTGTCTTGTCAGCTTACTGCTGCCCCCCATCTCTCCAGACCCCTAAAGTCCCATCAGCTCTCCCACCCTTCTCCTGGCTCACCTACCAAGTAGGGCCTCCCTCCCTCATGAATTTTCATGTAGAAACTCTGTTCTCCGTGGGCTTTTGGAGTCTCTTAGGGGTTTAGAATTACACAGAAATCCTCCTGATGCAGCTGTGCTTCATTTTCACTAAAATCAAAATTTTTTTGCAGGGAAATTTTATTATTAAATGAACTTTGGCTCCTTTTCAGACCAAATAATTACTTGAAACCATTATCAAATAAATATTTGATATCTCAGGAAAACTCAAACAGTTGAGCCACTCTTGATGGATTCGAGTCCCTGTGTTTTAGAAGGCACACCTGGGCAGAAGATGTGTCCAGAGCCAGAGAAGCTCCCTGTAAGGGTTACTTCTAAGTTCTGCCGTTTGATTGGAATGGTCCACGTGTGCAGAAAGTTGGCTTAAATCAAGATCTGATGCAGAATTTCTGCTTTCCCAGCACACATTGGGTGGATGATTAACATGGAAACAAATCCTGTTCTATCTTGCTCTGTCCTTCATTTCCTTACAGCTTAGGAAATCTTCAGTCTTTCTGTTAATTATACTAATTAAGGAGATTAATAAAATTACTGTCAAAAGTCCCATCGTTTTTGTTAGTCTTTATTGACATTTCTTCACTCTAGAAGTTCATACAATAACATTTTTAGCCCTGAAAACTTCCCACATACATTAGCATTTCATAACATCAGTATTATTATCTACATCAATAAGGCCATGTATCATTCTTTCTATAAATTCTATGCATTTCTGTTAAAGTTATTTTTAGATAATTGATATTTTGCTTATTGTGAATAAGAATGTATCCCTTAATGTTTTTTTTTTATAACTAAGGATAAATTAACAGACTTCAATAGCTTTGACTTATTCTAGTTATTGGATAAATTAATAAGCTATTGAAGTTTGTTAATTTGTCATATCTAGCCATGCTTCTGAAATTACTTGATAAGCTCTCAACTTTTTTGTTGTTATTGTTATTCTACAATATGTTCCCCAGCTTTGCAGTCATATCATTTGAAAATATCTTTTTATAAATATTTTTTATTTTTAGAAAAGAGAGAGAAACATCGATGTGACAGTGAAACATTGATTGGCTGCCTCTTCCATGCCCCCCTAACGGGGATTAGCTGATAACCTGGGCATGTGCCATGACGGTGGAATCAAACCCATAACCTTTTGGTGCATTGGATGATGCCCAACCAACTGATCCACACTGTTCAGGGCATCATTTGAAGCTATTTTGTTTTTGTTTGTTTAAATTAGCAAGAAATTTAAGAACAGTTTTGATAATAGAGGTGATTGTCAGGATTCTCGTGTCATTTTAACAGGAATGCCTTTTTTTTTTTTTTTTGAGATTACCATTTTAAGCATTCTTTTCTTTTTATACAAGGTTATTTTCTATATTAGCCCTTGGGACTATGTCTTTGCTTTAAAAAAAAAAATCTATTTTCAGATTTTCAAATGTGTTGTATCAGAAATGAGAAAGGGGGTTTGCCAGCAGATGTAGAGGAGATAGCAAACTAGAACTTGTCCTTGTTGACACTCTAATCTTGTGGGTTATTCACTAGATGTTCTCCAAGGTTTTTTGTTGTTTTACTCTAAATTACCTTTTATTAAGGTATTTTCCTTATTAATATCTGCAAATATATCAAATCTTTTTCAAATATTTAGGCTGGGTAGTTATGTTATACTTTGTCGTTTTATGTATTTTTTAAATTTTAAAACAGAGATGGGCCATGGAGTGTAGATTGTGAGGAAAGGGAAGCAGAGGTTATAAATAGAACAGGAGAAAATGGGCAATGAGAAAGCCAGATTCTGGAATCTGCACTGTGCACAGCGGCACTTACAGGACCATGGAGAGCTCTAGGCAAGCACCAAAGGCCTGGGTTCCCAGGGCGGGGTCTTCCACACTTCTCTGCCAACCTTGATGGGGGATGGGAGGCTGCATAAGGAGTTCATGAGCTCCGCTGTCATCTGTTGACAGTTTCTGCACACTGAATGCGGCAGTTGAACAGAGAATGGGTACTAAATCCAGAGTTGCCTTACCCCAAGGGAGAAAGCTGGGTGGTTATGTTATATTTTGTAATTTTATGTATTTTTAAAATCGTAAAAACAATACAGAGATGGGCCATGGGCCTGGGTTCTTTTACTCAGGACAGAGATCACACAGGTCTGCTTGGGAAATAACAACCTGGGTAGAGGCCACTTATAACTGTAGAGGCCACAGGAATGAAAAAACAGGGAGGCTTCCTGGGTCTTCATTTAGTCCAGTTGGTGAAAAACAAACAAACGAAACAAAAAGGGGAATGGGAGAAACTGGAATAAAACAGATGAGAAGCATGTGAAGAAGATATCCTGGGAGAGGATAGAGAGCCTGTCAGTCAGGACCCACTGCACTAGTCTGAGCAGGAGAATGACACATCAGCACATCTAGGCATTGGAAGATGTCTCTGGTAGCACTGTGGAAGATGCAGGGGAGGTGGCTGGATAAGGGGCTGGGAGACAGGGAGTCCAGATCAGATAAAATAAGAATCTGAACTAGAGTTGGGGTAAGGAGGTAGATATGAAAACTAGGAGTGTTTTGAAGGTTATATTCTTTAATGAGCAAAAGATTTGAACAAATACTCCACTGCAGATGTACCTGTGGCAAATTAGCACATGAAAAGATAATTGCCGTCTTTAGTCACTCGGAAAACACATTAAAACCATAAGCATATTACCACACGTGATGGAACGGTTCCAATTTAAAAAGCCTAAGTGTTGGTGAAGACATGAAGCAACTAAAATTCCCACACATACATTACTGGTGAGAATGTAAAACAAAGACCAACTTTGGAAAACTAGCAATTTCCTTTCCTTGTTTCCCTCTTATTTTCTTTCTCTTCCCACTTTTCCTCCTTTCCTTCTTTTATTCTCTCATTTTCTCTCTTCCTTTTTTTAAATTGTCAAATATTTAATGCTAATTAAAGGCCAGATAATTCATGCTCTTTTTAGTTAAGATTAAAAAATTCTTGCAATCTGCTGAGACCAGTTTGGCTCAATGAATAGAGCATTGGCTTGGGGACTGAAGGGTCCCAGGTTGGATTCCAGTCAAGGGCATGTACCTTGGTTGCGGGCGTATCCCCAGTAGGGGGTATGCAAGAGGCAGCTGATTGATGACTCTCTCATCGATGTTTCTAACTATCTCTCTCCCTCTCTGTACAAAATCAATAAAAAAATATATTTAAAAAAAAATCTTGCAATTTTATCAACATCTGATCATAAATAGCAAACACTTTTGGCCTGAACATTGTAACATTTTCTCAATCTCTTAACTGAAAATTTAGCTAAATTTCTGTTGAAACTTGGGTAATTTTCACTACAAACGATGGAATTTTAATTTTTTGGCTTGTTCTTTGAATATTATTCACAGTGTGAATTTAACAAATGTACCATTACACATTTTAGAAGTTATATTCCTAACATTCATCTTTTCTGCACTTAAAATTGGTGAAAGCTTTCCTTCATTGCCAAAGCCCAGAGTGTTTATCACATGATATTCTGTATTACAAATGTGATATTAGGATATTTGGAAACAGTTTATCATAGCACTAAATATAGACCATAATGCCACAAGGATTCCAGTTCAAGTTAGCAGTCAAAACAATTTAGACTTCAAGTACTGTATTTAAAAAAAACATAAATTTTTATTTTGAATAAAGAAAAATCATTTTATTTTTCAAAGACTTGGTACTGCAAAAAAAAAAAATGGAATGCATACTCAAGAATTATTACTTCACAGTTGTCCTACTTTTCTAGGACAAGTCAGGAAATGATTTGATTTATAATGCAAGAGTTCCCAGGCTTCTTTTCACATAGCTCTCTGATGTTCAGTGTTGAAATCTAAAAAAAAAATTCCTTCTGAAATTGGTAGTCCCCCAAATATGAGCATTATCCCATTAACCCTCATAAGTCATAACTTATTTACTTCCCTCCATTAAATATTGTTACATATACTTCAAATAGTTTAGAAACTACAGGTTTGCTCATAGTGGAGTTTCTCCAGGTGCAACTAGTTTGACCAGAGAAAGCAAACATTGACTAATAATGCAATCTTTATTAAAAATTCAACCCAATTTTGACATTTAAAAAAAAGCTAGTTCAAAAAAATAAAAGCTGTATAAAGATATATCTTTTCCAAATCACTGGGAAAGAGGCATTAGTAGTTTTATTTTTACTTGATGCCCTAGAACAGTGTTTCCCACCCTTCTCTCATGATGAGAATCACCTGGTGGAGTTGTTAAAACACAGATTCCTGAATCCCAACTAAGAAGTGCTAAACTAGAATTTTTGGGAACATATAGGTAAAATTGCATACCTAACTTAGTGCTCTGTATATAAAATCTGTCTTAGAGCACTAGTTAAGTATACAATTTTACCTATATGTTCCCAAAAATTCTAGTTTAGCACTTCTTAGTTGGGATTCAGGAATCTGTGTTTTAACAACTCCACCAGGTGATTCTCATCATGAGAGAAGGGTGGGAAACACTGCCCTAGAATTCCTCCCCAAGTCACTCTGACACACCAGAACAGCCTTTGCAGAGCATTATGATAAAGGCAGTGAGACACATACTCAACAAAATCAGGAGGCTTATTGTTAATACGTTGCATTGTCCAGATAGTAAATGGTTATGTGCTCATTTATTTACATAGAACATTGATTTCTATAAAAAGTAAGAACAGCCAGGAGACGACGACATCCAATGTTCAGAGTTTACTGTTCTTCCCACTTTCTGCAGGCAAGTCCTCCTATAAACAGAAATCGTGTGGCCATTCTCTGGCACTTCCCTGAGTTACTGCCTGAACAGCATGCTAGCCCCTTTCGTAAAAGTAGACTTCAACCCCGAGGTTCCTTTCACCCAGACTGATCAGTGCCCACAAGCTGGGTGCCAAGGATTAGCTGTGGCCTTCATGGTTCACATTATAACCCAGTTGCCAGCGCTTCCCTGGGCCCCGGGGGTTGCCAGAAGTTAAAGCCCCTGTCTGGGTCAGTTTGCCACCACCAGCCATCTACTCCCTCCGTGTCTGCCTCTCCACTCTAATACTTGACCTCATTCTCGAAGTGCTGCCACAGCCCTGATAGTTTCACCAGGGAGGAGATGTGGGGATGTCCTTGGGCTATGATGAAGTAAGTCCAAGATTGCCAAATAAGTCATAACTTTAGAACCTGCCGCTTACACTGATTCAGTGGTTCCTGGTCCCTATAGCTTCTATGCCCCTGGGGAAGGCCCGCTGTCTGTTTTCCCCACCTGAACATGTCTCACCCACCTGCACTGGGACCAGCTCTCTGCTGAGATTCTAGGTGGGATCCTGGCACTGACCCCTAGTGCGGGGCAGAAGGTTACTCCAGGGGAAATGGCCCTACTGCTATTGGAGGCTGCAGCCTCTCCTCAGGCACCCTGGGTCAACCTCTCTATCTGGTCAGGTTCAGTGGCCCCTGGCTCCTTCTTACAGTGCGGGGTCCTTGGGGCACCAGATGCTTCCAGGCCCCTAGCCCACAGCTTGTCACCCAGCAAAGAGAGTCCCTGGTCACTCTGCCACTGCTCTGCTTCCTCTGGGTTATTCCTCCACCCCTCATCCCAAGTCTGCAGCCTCCTAGGAGCCTACTGCTCCCCCACACCTGGCCTTCCCTGACAAATGTACTTTGCTGGGACCAAAAGCCCTTCCTATAGTGCACTCCTGGTTCATCTGAGCCTCACCCTGCCCTTTGCCAGGCCTCACTGTCCTCCTCTCACTGTCCCCGGGTTCGAAGGGGCATGTTTCCATCTTGTCCTCTGTTGCCTGCTGGGCCTTCTTTCTGACCTCAACCTGTGGTTACACTTAATGTTGCACAAGGCACAGGATAGAGGTAGGGACTGGCTTAGTATGAAGGGGTAAGGTCAGGTTATGTTCCAGAAGTGGCCAACTTCTTACCATTGCCAGCTGCCTGGCTTGTTTTAACCCTGAGCGGTTTTCCCTCAGCCCACCAGTCCCTTTCCATTATTGCCCCAGAATCCCTAGCTTTTCCCTGTTTAACCTGGTAGCATTTTAACTTCTTCCCGGCAGGGACTTCGTTCCTTACTTTTTACCTGTTTCTCACCAAACTATCTGTGTGCCAGGATCCTCCCTCAGGGAGGCCACTGGGCATGGTGTCAGTCACCTGTTTGCTATCTGCTCAGTTTGCTATTGTCTGTGGGACGATCACACCCACTGCTGCCTGGCCAAAGGTGAAATCCAGCAAGGCAGAAACTTACTGTACCTGTGTCCTCTTCAGTGGATGCATCTTTGTGGCAAGATGTGCACTCAACATAATTTACTGAGCACTGAGTATGTGTGTGCCAAGTAGCGGATAGAGGAAATACTCCTTGCTAGGCACAATGATAGGCGAGAAACAGATAAGTAGCTAAAACAATGGCCTGGAGGAAAACTTGACAAAAATAAACACGAGGCCTAGTAGGGGGATTATGACCCTCAGTGTTGTCTGAACCTCTCTCTACCCAAGGCCACTGTGGTGATCAAACGCTGCCACCCTTGTGCAGACACAACCACTGTGCTTCAGGCTATCTCACACTGGCGGCCTCTGCGGGTGCAGAAGCCACCTCCACTTCCCTGTCCCCTTGTCCATTGGCAGCAGGCACAGGCTTCATCATGATACATCTTTTCTCAAACTCCTTCAGCCACTTCCATCTCTACTGCCTCCAGGGGAGATTTCTGCTCTGGGTTCCAAAGCACTGCAGTTTGGATCTCTCTGCCCCACTGATTCCATGTCTATACCCCTGGCCTGTTGGTAGAATCCTTGGACATTACGGCTCAAAGAAGATAAATGCCAGAGAGTCTGGACACCCATTGGATCAGCTCCTATGGGAAAGCCATCTCCAGTGTCAGTCTTACTCACCTGGGCAGGCAGGAGGGGATGGGGCTAATGTGGATCAATCCCACTTCTGAAGCAGTCTTGCAACATGAGTTCTGAGATTTGCTGATACTATTGGGAATCAGAGAAAGGATTTTCAACTCAAAAATACTAATTTGAATCTAGTTTTCACAATCCTATCTAATAAAACAGTAATATGCAAATTGACTATCACTCCAAGACACAAAATGGTCACCCCTACCCTATGTGGTCAAAGATGGCTGCCCCCATGTGGACACGAGATACCTGCCACAAGATGGCCTGCAAGGGAGGGCAGTTGTGGGCAGTTAGAGGGGACCAGTCCTGCAGTGGAGGGTAGTTGGAGGTGACCAGGCTGGCAGGGGAGGGCAGTTAGGGGCGACTAGACAGGCAAGGGAGGGCAATTAGGGTTGACCAGGCCAGCAGGGTAGGACAGTTAGGGGCAATCAGGCCAGCAGGGGAACAGTTAGGCATAGATCAGGCTGGCAGGCATAAGCAGTTAGGGGCAATCAGGCAGAGGCAGGCGAGTGGTTGGGAGCCAGCAGTCCTGGATTATGAGAGGGATGTCCCAGATTGGAGAGGGTGCAGGCTGGGCTGAGGGACAACACTCCCACCCCCGTGCATGAATTTCGTGCACCAGGCCTCTAGTCTGAAAATTAAATTTAAATCCATAGTTTAGAAATCCAATTATATTTTATAACAATTGTGGGGGAAAGAAGACATCAGATATGACTCCAATAAAAGGAGAATTTATGAGAAATTCTCATATCCTGCTGTTTTCTAGAGATGTTTGGGGGCTGTTTTGAGGACCAGGTGGGCTGGCTCTCTTGAGGCCACACCCCTCAGAGGCTTTAGCATAATTCATCACCAGAAAAAGAACCTTGTGATCCTGCCCCAGCTATCCTACTGGAGCTTTGTTCCTCATGTTGCTGGTGCTGTAGCTAGGCACTCTGGTTGGTGACCTTCCCTTTGGTCACATGGCTGGCCCTGACTTATCATTCTGACTGAGCCACTAGGGTCGCCATCCTGGCTTCTTGGTCACACCTTATTCTGTTTCTCTCTGGGGTTTAACTGCCTCTCTCCTAAACCTGATGCAACTCCTTTCTTATCACCAAATCATTATCTTGATCTTCCATCCAATTCCAACCTGCCCAAGCAATTCTGAGCTTCAGTAGCATAAATTAACATTAATTAGAGGACACTCCTTCCCCATCATGGCTTCAACTTAGGTGAACAGCAATGGGACATACAGAGCAGTTAAAAGCACTGGGCTGAATCCTGATACCACTGTTTCCTACTCACATGACCTTGAATAAGTCACATTTGAATTCTCTGCCTCAGTTTTCTCATTTGCAAATCAAAGATAACATAGCCATTCATCGCATAATGATGTTTTGGTCAACGAGGGATTCCGCGTACCATGGCGGTCCCTTAAGATTATAATGGAGCTAAAAAAATTCCTACCACCTAACACCATAGCAGTCCTAATGTCGTAGCACAATGCACTCTTCATGTGTTTGTGGTGAAACTGGTGTAAACAAAACTACTATGATGCCAATCATATAAAAGTATAGAACATACCCTGTTGGTGTGCCTCAGTAGTTGAGCATTGACCTATGAACCCGGAGGTCATGGCTCAATTCCTAGTCAGGGCACATGCTCAGGTTGTAAGCTCGATCCCCAGTAGGGGACTTGCAAGAGGAAGCTGATCAATGATTCTCTCTCATCAATTATGTTTTTTGTCTCTCTCTCCCTCTCCCTTTTTTCATGAAATCAATAAAAAATATCTATATATAAAAAAATAAGATCCTTTGTAATAAAGAGCTAATATGCAAGTGGTTCATTATGCCCTCGTGTCCTCACACCCTGGGGCCCTTGTGCTGGGGCTGGGAGACCTGAGGCCACGCTCCTCACCCCAGCATTCAGGGACCTGAGGCTGCACCCTCCTCCCCCACCCAGCGGGGCTTGATGGGAGACTTGAGGCTGCATCCCCCACCCCTGCACTGGGGCTAAGGAACCTGAGGCTGCACTCCCCAACCCTGTAGAGCTTGATGAAGGTGGGGCTGGCTAGGTCTCGTGCGATTTCAAGGCATGTACAGGTGGGCAGGGTCTTGACTTTGGGTCCCATGGCATGCCCCAGACTCTGACAGGATGGAGATTTTCATATACATTTTACTAATTTTCTTTCATCTCTGACACATCTATTACAGAGAAAGGGCAAATACCAATATTAAAATATTTCCTCTAATTAATTCCCTTTTAATGTGCATGGATTTTGTGTACTGGGCCACAAGTAAAAAATAAACATATAATACACACAATTATGTATGATACATGATAATTGATAATGATGATAAACGATCATGCTATTGATTTACACATTTCTATATCATACTTTTTATTGATATTTTAGAGTGTATTCTTTCTACTTATAAAATAAGTCCATGGTAAAATAGTCTGCCATGTTACACTGGTAGCAGCCTCATACATCATATGTTTACTGAGTCTCTTCATTGCTTAATTTTCTCTTGTGCTTGATTTAATCCTGTTTTGCACAATGCCATGCTGTATAGGCCTATAGCCTGGGAGCAATAAGCTCTACCATGAAGCCTAAGTGTATAGTGACCTATTCCTTCCAGGTGGGTGAAAGTGCACCCTGTGATGTTCACACAATAATGAATCTTCCAAATGACACATTTCTCAGACTGTAACCCTATCATTAAGCTGTGCATAACTGCAATACCATTGGCTACCAGAGCAGTTGTGAGCATTACGTGAGGTGACATTTGCTTTCTGCTTCAGGTGGAAAAAGGAGGTGGTATCTAATAGCTCTTGGAGACTGTGTATATGCAGCCCTCCTGATAGAATAAACCTTTCCACAGTCTCCCTGTGGCCAGAATACCTCCTAACGTTGTATTTCATTTAGGAAGTTGCTGGAAACCAGTTGCTTTATGAATTACACTGGAAGAATGAGTTCTTCAATATCTACAAATGAACTGGCTAGGAAAGAATGATTGTAATTGTTCAAACTCAGTGTTGTGGAGGAAATATTTGGAAAGGCTTAAGTAATACTCAGAGCTTAGGGTAAAGCATAGTAAATGAAGGATCCTTAGGCCAGAGATAAAGTCCAGACAGACAATGTTACAATAAAATACGTTTCACTTACCATTTCACTTCAAAGAGTGATGCTCATCAGAACTTGGCCATGGCGAGGAAGAGGAGCTGAGGGTTGAAGAACTCAGACAAATAGCCACCATACTGTTTCATAGTCCCACTAAGCACAATTTCTTCTTCAAAGTGCACCTCAGACATTTCTAATCTTCAATGTCAAACTACAAATTGCAACAGCACCAGTGTCCTGGTCAAAATGGACATGAAACTCCTGGTTGCTGCATTATTTGTAGATGTTCTATATCCCTCCTGATGTCTGTTTATTAATTCTTCTTCCCCATCACAATGAGGAGAGACCAACACTCTGCTCTTTGCATCTCTCCCTGTGGTAGACATGTTGATCTTTAATAGAGACATGTTAATGTCCTGATAAATACTGGCTTGCAGAGAATTTGCTAGAGCCAGTGCAGGCAATGAATTTCAGTTTCATTGAATTAAAAACAAGTTGGTTCTGTCAATGAGATAACAATTTCCCTTCTTAAAATATAGCTGGTCTGGTCTAAAATGCACATGTGGGAGGCAGGATTGTAGAAATATCTCAAATTAATTAATGTCTCGCTTTTTGTAAAGTATTCACTAGTCTGGATTAGGTGCTTCCCCCCATTGCAAAGCAGCAGGATCTGGTCTCAAGGCTCCCTAGGTTGGCGGTGCGGAGTATTAATCATTTCCTATTGTTTTTAGCTCTGTCTGAGATGTCTAATTTGAAAGCATCTAAAAAGGAAAATGTTACTTGGAATTAGTGTAGTTCCCCATCACTTTTGAAAAATGTGTTAAGGGACTATTTGGCCCAATTGATCTAGAAACATTTCCCCTCATAATAATAAGCCAATTCTTTCTGCTTTGAATAGGAAATATCTCATTGGGCCCATAGGGAAGGGGGAGGTCAACCCAATGGAGTAACAAATATTTGAAAAGATGCTCAATGTCATATGTAATCAGGGAATTACAAATTTAAACAACAATGAGATATCACAACACACCTATTAGAATGGCCAAAATCCAAAACACTGATAATATTAAATGCTGGTGAGAATGTGGCACACAAGGAATTCTCAGTCAATGCAGGTGGGAATGCAAAATGGCACAGCTATTTTGGAAGAAAGTTTGACAGTTTCTTACAAAATTGACCATACTTTTACCATATAATCCAGTAATCATGTGTCCAGGCATTTACTTACCTAATTGAAGTGATTGAAATGTATGTCCACATGAAACTTGAACATGAATGGCTAAATGCATGGATTTATGCATGGGTGGGGTCCTGCTGCCCCACCCTGATCAGGGTTGATAAGGGCTGGCTGGCTGGGGGAGGAGACACGGGAGAAGGGAGAAGGGATGCCAGGGGGAGGGGTCATAGGAGGTTGGCTAGCCAGCCCTGACCCCATTTGACCAGTTGGCCAACTACAGTGTGTGTCATAGCGACCAGTCATTCCAGTCATTCTGGTCACTTGGTGTATGTATATGTATATGTGTATATACAATATATATATATATATATATATATATATATATATATATATATATGTCTAAAACTGGGCAGCAACCAAGATGTCTTTGAATATAGAAACTATGGTGTAGTCACACAATGGAATATTATTCAGAGATTTCAAAAAATGAGTGAGTGATCAAAGAAGAATCTTAAATGCTTACTACTGAGCGAAAAAAGCTAAACTAAAAAACTGCATACTGTATGACTTCATCTGTATGACATTCTGAAAAAGGCAAAAATATAGAGATAATACAAAGATTAGGGGTTGCCAGGGATTGGAAGTGTGGTGCAGAGGGATGAATAGGTGGAATACAGACAATTTTTAGGGCCGTGAAACTACTCTGTATGATATTATAATTGTGGATGCATGTCCTTATACATTTGCCCAAACCAATAGCATGCACAGCACCAAGAGTGAACCCATACGTAATCT